ACAGAAATTCTGTTCCCACCCTCACAGGGTGAGCTGATTAATTCGTAACAATCATGGAAGCTAACATTTCAGATGGCACTTACAGATGCCAGGTGCTGTTCGAAGTGCTTCACATATACCAGGTCATTCAATCCTCACCTCCACTTAACTGAGCCACGGAAAAACCAAGAAATCCACATCCAGGATCACGTACCCTACTCAGAGCAATGTCAGAATAGGTATCCAAGCAATCTGGCTCCACTGCCCATCTTACCTACTGCGCCACAGAGTAGCTGAACATGGGCCTTATGACAGTGGGACTCACTTGACTGACTAAACCCACTCTACATTCAAACTCCCCGGCCCACCCTACCTCCTAGTAGAGCGTCAGAACGGACTTTAAAGTCAGGAATAGGGTCAAATCCAAGCCAGAGAACAATGCCTGCTCAGCCTCAGTTTCCAAGTCCTTAAACTGGTCATAATGAAAACTGGGCTAACTTGAGGTTCAATGAGATAACATACGCATGACTGGCCCCTAGTAACTACTAATTCACCCCCTGTTGTCAAACCTACTTCCTCTTTTTCTCTTTCAGGCCAGCGTCTTCCCAGCTTCTTCCCGTCTCCTCTCCTCTAGGAGAGAGAGGCAAGGAGCAAAGTGGGGAAATGAAGTGGAGACCGAGGGGTGACGTCACTTGTCTTGCTGGGATTTTCTTTTCTAAAACCATGGGCACATCCTGAGTGTCACTGGGCCCTGCCTTTGTAGGAGCAGCTTTTCCAGCTGAGAATATAGACCAGAGAGGCAAGTGGGAGACTGCTGAACCAAGGACACACACAGGGCAACAGTCAGTAATCTGTATTATTCCATCAGACAACTGAGAAAAGGAAAAACTTACTGATGCTTTCGTTGTAAATGTTCACAGATAAAGATTTCATTTTACTTTGTGCTTTTAGAAACACTCCAGACATGTCGAATAAACTCTCTTGAACTTTAAAATAGAAAAAAGATTGACTGGCGTGTGTGGATGTTTGGGAGTAGGAGTGCAGGGAGAGGAATAATTCAGGAGGTTAAAAAAACAAACAAGTCTAAGCAGTTGTTGCCATTCTCTGCCTCCCCTACTGGAATTCTCCAGAAGGTGGAGTTCATAGGGGTCACTCCTGCAGTCTAAGATGCCTCTTCTGGGGAGGTATATAGAATCCAGCCTGGATGCCTCTACTGGAAAGCACTGGTTTAGGCCGGCGCCACGGCTCACTTGGCTAATCCTCTGCCTGCGGTGCCAGCACTCTGGGTTCTAGTCCCGGTCGGGGCGCCGGATTCTGTCCTGGTTGCCCCTCTTCTAGGCCAGCTCTCTGCTGTGGTCAGGGAATGCAGTGGAGGATGGCCCAAGTGCTTGGAGGAAGTACCTGGCTCCTGGCTTTGGATTGGCGCAGCGCGCTGGCCATGGCAGCCATTTGGGGGGTGAACCAATGGGAGGAAGACCTTTTCTCTCTCTCTCTCTCTCACTGTCTAACTCTGCCTGTCCATATGAAGAAGATCAACACACAAAATAATCGAAAGAAACAAACAAACAGGAAAGCACTGGTTTAAAGGGCCTTGTGCCTGGTGGCTGGGATGCCTGCATCCCATACTGAATGCTTAGTTCAACCCCCCAGCTCCAGCTCCTGATTCCAGCTTCCTACTAATGTGAACTCTGGGAGGTAAAAGGGATGGCTCAAGTGGTGGGGTTCCTGCCTCCCACAAGAGGGAGACCTGGATTGGGTTCCTGGTTCCTGGCACCGGGCTTTGGCAGAACATTTGGGGGTGGGGACTCACTCTGTCTGTCTCTCCGTGCTCTTGCTTTAGAAAGGACTTTCCGTTTAAAAGACTGCTGCGATCATCTGTGAACATTTAAGTAGGAAAACTTCTTCTGGTCACTTATTAACAATCAATAAAAATGCAAGTAATGACTACTGAAATGCTTCTACAAACATCTTTTAAGTTAGAAAAAAAATCCTAATGACAACACTTTGAAAGGTGTTAAGACTGAAAAAATAGTCTTATGAATTCTGTAGTAAGCATTATGAATTGATGCACTTTTCAGAGGGTTTCTGTCAATAAAAAGTGACAGTGTAATGATGCTTCCACTGTCTTCTTGTCTCCTACTCATAGGAAATGATCCTAAAGAAATTATTCACCAGGAATGAAAAGGACAGAGATAACGATTGTCATAATAGAATTACTTATTAAAACAAGAAACAATCTAAATATCCTGTGGTAGGCTTTTAGCTTATCCCACACACTCGTCCTTTATATGGCTAATCATATTTTAATTATTTGTTTTACAACTATCTCCCCATTAGATAGTAAGCTCCATGAGGGTGAGGCTGTGCCTGTCTAGATCCCTGGTACATGATAAATACAGATTGTAGGAATTAAGAACAAGAACAAAAAAATATTTATAATATAATGCTAAGTAAAAATAATGTAAAATATATGTAGAGTAGGGGACAAATAGTTACATATATATTACGATGGAGGGATCTTGGAATATTTTTAAGTTATTTTAAATATTTTTTAAAAGATTTTTATTTGAAAGAGTTACAGAGAGAGGTGGAGACAGACAGAGAGAGAGGTCTTCCATCTATTGGTTCACTCCCCAGATGGCCACAATGGCAAGAGCTGAGCCAATCTGAAGCCAGGAGCCAGGAACTTCTTTTGGGTCTCCCATGTAGGTGCATTTCCTGCTTTCCCAGGCCATAGCAGAGAGCTGGATTAGAAGTGGAGCAGCCAGGACTCGAACTGGCACCCATATGGGATACCTGTGCTGCAGGCCAGGACTTTAACCCGCTGCGCCACAGTGCCGCCCCCCACCCCAAACATTCTTTAAGTTGTTATTTTAGTGCCTCTGACGAAGTGGGAAACCTTTGCTGTTCCACATATAACTCACAGGAGGGATGAAATGACCACTAAAGGTTTGGGTGGCTACTCCCAGCTCATTCCCAGGCACTCTGGTACTATTTCTTTGCTCACGGGTAGAAAGACCCAAAATCCTCATGTATCATATGCAGCACAATCCTATTTTCTGTAAAAATCTGAAACAAAGGCAATATGTTTTAAAGAGACAGGAGGAAAATGTCTCCTAAAGCAATCCCTTTTCTGGATGGTGAATTTGCTGATTACTAACAGCAGGGGGTGCCAGAGGGATCCCTATTGTTCCCAGGAGGTGGCCAAGAGAAGAACCGCTGAGGCCCAGGTTAGAAAAGCTTAGGTTAGACAGTGAGGCCTGAAAGCCAGATTTCCCTTTACAGCTGGGCCATGTGGCTAAAACGCAGGCGCTCTGCAGACTTGAGTGAAGAGAAACTGCATGTTTATCTTCACTAACTTCTGATATTTAACGTTTCCTCCAATTATGAGAGTAGGCAACAAATGACAGCAGTGTTAGCAGTGCTGGTGACTGTCGTGAACGGACCGGAGCCAACACCACAGCACACCACAGGTGCTGCAGATCTCTCAGATGCCACTTAGACTCCTCACTGCTCCGAAATGACGGACTCCAGGACGCATCACGTCTGCAGCTGGATCTTACTGCTTCATCTAGTGGTAAAGCCCTGCTGATCACTCTATCACAATTTGTTTAGTAACTCGGTAACTTTAAACACAACAGGAGTGGGTGTTTGGCCTAGCAGTGAAGATGCCTGCATTGTATGTCTGAGTGCCTAGGTTCAGTGCCCGGCTCTGTCTCCCGACTCCATCTTTCTCTTTATGTGGATCCTGTTGGCCAATGGTGATGGCTGCAATGATTGGGTTCTTGCCCCTCATACGGGAGACCTGGATTAAGCCACTGTCTCAGTCTTTGGCCTAACCCAGCTCTGGCTGTCCCAGGCACTTGGGGAGAGTGAACCAGAACCAGATGTCTGTCTGCCTCTCTCAAATAAATAAATCTTTTAAAACAAGTCTTCCACATGCCACTGAACATTATTTTATGTTTACACATACTTTTCAGGAGAGAACTTTTACAAGCTTTATGAGTGCCAAAGGCACAAGTAAGATGGAGGACATCTGCTGAAGCTAAAGAAAGAAATGAAAGAAAAATCAAATGTGATCTACACAAAGTTACAGAGAAAAGTGTTTTGGGGCTGGCACTGTGGCATAGTGGGTAAAGCTGCTGCCAGTTATGCTGGCATCAGACATGGGTGCCAATTTGAGTCCCAGCTGCTCTACTTCTAATCCAGCTCCCTGCTAATACACCTGGGAAGGCAGAAGAGGATGGCCCAAGTCCTTGAGCGCCTGCACCCTGTGGGAGAGTGGGAAAAAGCTCCTGGCTCCTGGTTTTGGTCTGGCCCAGCCCTGGCTGTTGTGGCCATTTTGGAAGTGACTCAAAATGTCTCTCCCTCTCCCTCTCCTTCTCTCTACTCTGCCTTTCATATAAATAAGTAAATCTTTCAAAAGACTGTTTTTTTAAAGATTTGTTTATTTGAAAGAGAGAGAGGGAGAGAGAGAGACAGAGAGATATTGAGATAGAGAGAGATCTTTGTCTTCTGGTTACTCCCAAGATGCACACAACAGCTGGGCCTGGGCCTGGGCCTGGCTGAAGCTGGGAATCGGAGACTCTTGCATGGGTGGCAGTGACTCACGCACTGCAGCCATCACCTGCAGCCTCCCAAGTGCATTAGCAGGGAGCTGGATCCCAGATATCTTGAAACAGGATGTGGGCTTCCCAAGCATTGGCTTAACTTGCTGGCCCCAGTGCTGACCCTGAGAAAAAACCAGCTTCAGAGGCTCCACGTGTACCCACGTCTCCCGAGAACTGTCTAGATCGGACATTCAGGGATCTTCCTTACAGTGTGTCACTGAAGGGCAATCTGTGTGCCGCCTAGGGACAGAGCAGGAAACAGAAGTCAGTGCTGCCTCTGGCAGTAATCACTGCATGCAGACTCTCCAAATACCAAACATCCTTCCTTTGCGGAACAAAACCAAAAATCAGAGCTGAAATGCCAGGACACAGGCAGAAAGTTCCGAGATGAGTAAGAGCCCGAGTACTCACATTCGAACAAAGAGTGATTCCTTGGATGTCAGACCAGGCGAGGAATACTTCTCAACCAGGGCCAAAGTACTGAAGCCAAACTTATGAATGGGCTCATTGGCATCCAGCGGGGGGAAATCTGTGTCCACCTCCCCGTCATCCTCAGCAATGTGCAGGCAGTAGGCACTGACGTTGTCACTGAAGGGAAAACACAGAGGGGAGTGAACACTAAGACAGGGAAGCACGAGATCAATTTCAGGACACTGCTGTTCTTTGCCAAGTCTGGGGGTACAGTTAGAACTCTGGCACCTGTTGTGGATCAAGCACAGAACTTAACCCTTCAGATCAAAGGTGAGATTTAGTATCAACCCTAAAGGAAGCTTACAGTATAGCAGGCAGAAAAAGTAAGCACCATACTAGCTATAATACGAATATAAATAAACATCATAAAATAAATTTTAAAACAACTATAAAGGAGGAAAATCATCTGGGGAGAGTCAGAAGCCTTTGACTTCTCTCGAATACTCAAGGTAAGCAACAACAGCCACCCAGTTTCCTTTTCCTCTAAGAATATCTAATTCACTCGGCAGGATTTGAATCCAAACAGAGCAAAAGTAATTCACCTCATTTATTCTGACACTGACACCCTCTCAGAGACTTCTGGTCACTCCACCTCTACAGAATGTCTGCTCAATATTCCCAGATCCTGTCTTGTCCAATTCAGAGTCAACACACACACCCCTTCTCCTTGTTCGGGAGAGGTAGAAAGTTGGCTTGTTGAAAAGGATGGAAAGCTACACTAACAAACAGACGACACCGTGAGGGGGGTGTTTGCAGCAGCAGCTAAGATGCCACTTGGAATGCTGGCATCCCGTACTGGGGGATCCGGCTTTGAGTTCTGGCTCCACTCTGGATTCCTGTTTCCTACTAATGTGCACTCCCGGAGGGAGCAGGTGATAGCTTAAGTGATGGAGTTCCAGGTTCCTGGCTTTGGCCTGGTCTAGCCCCAGTGGTTGCAGGCATTTGCAGAGTGAATCAGCAGATGAAATGATCTCTGTTGTCCTTTCTGTGCTTCAAATAAATGAATAAAAATTTAAAAAATTAAAATATTAAAAAAATACTGAAATCAACATAAACATTGTAAATTACCGTGCTCCAAAGCTGAAGTTTTGAAACTGCTAGCATTTAGAAGCATGAACCTGATGTTCACAAGGTGGTAGAATTCTAAATTCTGCAGCTTAAATTTGGAGTTTTAATTACATGATTGATGCTTAAATTAATTAATTGCAAAGTGTATGCTAATTGTTTAATTGGTTGCTTGATCTATATAGATCATTTTTTGAATTAAATGAGTTGATTTACAAAGTTTATTGATTGGATGTGACAATGAATTATTTCACTGACTACCTGATTTGCAATTTTCCCAATTAATTCACAAATCTTTAGCTGCAACTCTGCTTACTGAGAGAGAGACTACTTCAGGAAATCTATATCCAGTGAGTCTGTCATGACTAGGAGATATTTATTATATAAAACAGGTAATAAGGACAGATTAAAATTAATGGAAACTGTAAATTTGCTAAATGGATGGATAACAAGAAAGTAATCCGGCTATGTTTGTCACCATAAATTTCATGTATTTGCAACACTATTAAGAAATTTCAAATTCTTTTCTCAATGGTATGTGAAACTTTTGGATCTGCGCAGCAAGGCCCCAGCTTAAACACAAAACCACTGCGGAAGCAGAAGAAAGCAGTCTAGGGGAGGAAGACGCTATGGGTCTGACTGAGAGCTCTGCGGTCAGACGCAAATTCAGATCTCGGCCCAGCGCCTCCAGTGCCAGTGTCTGCTCTGATGGAAAGTCTGACTCAGGGACTGCAGTCCAGATGAGATGATGTATGTAGCACCCAGTGTGTAACAGAAGAAAACAGATGGTGACTGAAACAGTAAAGTCAGATGGAAACTAATCTTCACAGTTATGTCAATGGTCCATTGTGGGCACACAATGCAGCCACACAGCAGCAATGAAGCTGAGCAGCAAGCCCTGGGAACACAGACCTGCACCTGGAGTTAGCAGCCACCGAGTCCCCAGGGCTTTATGAACAGGGCAGACACTGATGGAACAAGCAACAGACAGCATAGATTATTTATTGCCATGTAAATCAAACCTGAGGAATGTCTGGGATTCTTCAGCACCACAGAGGTTCAAGGGCAAATAATAAGACTATTGATCAAGGCAGAACGCCAAACACTGATATCAGAAGAACTCTGCTTTGGCTGTCATGGGATGCCTCCAAATCCACTCGAAGCTAATTCAAGTCACAGGCTAAGAGCTGAGAGTCAAAAGGTTCACTGCCAAGTGCTATTACTCTTCCAGGTTTTTAAATACAAAGTGTGAAATCATTCATTCAAACACCATCTGCCAAGTGCCTCTCCTGTGCTGAAGCCTGAGAGCACTGGGAACACAGACAGGAAAGAACACACAGCAGGTAAAGCTGCCGCCTGCAGTGCCAGCATCCCCTATGGGTGCTGGCTCATGCCCCAGTTGCTCCGCTTCTGATCCAGCTCCCTGCTAATGGCCAGGGAAAAGCAGTGGAAGATGGCCCAAGTGTTTAGACTCCTGCCACCCATGTGGGAGACCCGGATGAAGCTTCTAGCTCCTGGCTTCAGCCTGGTCCAGCCTTGGCTGTTTTGGCCTTCTGAGCCATCAGATAAAAGGCCTCTCTGTAACTCTTTCAAAATAAATATTTGGAAAGAATGAACGAACGAATGAGTCCTGTTGTGTCATGTAAGACAAATGGCAGCAAACGGGGCTCTCAACTCCACGACCTCCTCACTGGAAATCTGAGGACATAATGACTCAAGTTCCCTATCTTACATAAGGACATATGGGTTCCCTATGCATTTATGAAGGAATCATTAGTGAAAGAAGCTACTGTTTCTATTTTGACTTCTGAAACTGCTTTAGGACTCCCAATTAGTACAAGTGAAGCATCTTTAAAAAGTTTATGAAAAATGCTATCATGAGAATACAGCATGAATTTTTTTTTGCACCAAAATAAACTTGTCTTTTAAATCTACTTTTCCATAAACTTTTAAAAAAGATTTACTATTTATTTGAATCAGTTATACAGAGAGAAGGAAAGGCAGCGGGGGGTGTGGTGGAGGGGTCTTTCATCCACTGGTTCACTCCCCAGTTGGCCACAACGAAGCTGTGCCGATCAGAAGCCAGAGCCAAGAACCTTTTCCGGGTCTCCCACACGCATGCAGGGGCCCAAGCACTTGGGCCATTTTCCACTGCTTTCCCAGGCCATAGCAGAGAGCTGGATGGGAAGTGGAGCAGCTGGGACTCGAACCAGCACCATATGAGATGCCAGCACTGCAGGCTGTGGCTTTACCCGCTATGCCACAGTGCCGGTCCCTCCATAAACTTTTAGAAGTCTCTTTACACGACATAGTCTCATTAGCTATAATGAGTGAGCATCATGCCATAGACACTGTGCAAAGTGGGTTAGACACAGAAGCTCACTGAATCCTCCTGTAACTCTGTCAAAGCATTTATTTCTATTTCATGAATTAGAAAACTGAGGTTGAGGTGGGTGCTGTGGCACAGGGGGTTAAGCTGCTGCCTGTGATGCCCACACGTCATACTGAAGTGCCAGTTTGAGTCCCAGCTGCTCTGCTTCCAATTCAGCTCCCTGCTAATGTGCACGGGGATCAGCTGAAGGCAGCTCAAGTGCCTGAGTCCCTGCCACCCACGTGGGAGACAGGGATGGGGTTCTTGGCTCCTGGCTTTGGCCTGGCTGTTAGTCATTTATGGAGTGAACCAGTGGATGGAAGATCTCTCACTCTGTCACTCTGCCTATGAAAATAAATACATTAAGGGGCGGGGGGGAAGCCCTGAGGCTTAGTGGTGTTAAGTGGTTTGTCAAGATTAAACACCTAAGTGACAGAGCTGAGACTCAGACCCAGGCAGTCAGAACTGCTCCCTCCTGGCCTCCTCCTCCCTCGACAAAAGCCAGGGCACATCCTGACTTCCCAAGGCATTTGGGAGTCCGCACTCCTATGGAAGTGTCACGCACTTTGAGGAGGAGGAGGAGACCGTGGCACTCACTTATAAAACAATTAGAGGCTTAGAGTTATCTCGGCCTACAGAGAGGAGTAACATGTGCATGTCACCCAGCTTAACAGAGGCAAAGCCAATCTAGAGAATTCAGGTCGCTCAACTTTTATTCCATTACTTTAACCAAATCAGCACCTGGTGGCATCTTGAAATGGCAAGGGGAAAAGAGAGAGGCAGGTCTGGCCCCTGCCTCAGGAATCCCCAAATAAGGACACGTGAAGCTTATGAAAGAATGAAAACCTGGCACCTTGCTATGGTACAGTTTGTTGGAAGGAACAGAGGTTTGACAGTCACATCTGGCCTTAAAGCTAACTCAACCATCAAGCACCCGTGACCAGATCTCTCTCAGCTCCATTTTCTCACCCGAAAAGAAGCTTTCCTTGATTTCCCTAAGAGAACTCAAGTGATCTTCCTTTGTGGTCTGACAGCTTTGGTCGATGTTTCCATGTATCACCTCACACTGCTTTTCCCTACTCGCACATCCATGTCCTAAAGAGCAGGGATTCTTGCGTAGCCTCTGCATGCTTGCTGAAGGGTACAATGGCTCGCATACAGAAGGCACTTAACAAATATTTGTTAGGTGAACAAATACACGAATTTAAAGGCTTAATCAGCATAAAAATAAAGGGTCTTATCAATGCGGTATGTGCTAGGAAGAGGGGAAATGTAAGCTTTTCTTTTCTTGTCACAGTGGTATCTGGTAACTAACTGGGACTTTCTAGGCAATGTACATACTTCAGACATTATAGGTCACCCTATAATGTAATGGAATAAAAGTTGAGCGACCTGAATTCTCTAGATTGGCTTTGCCTCTGTTAAGCTGGGTGACATGCACATGTTACTCATGTTCTTCTGTGGGAGACACAGAAGAAGCTCCTGGCTCCTCATCGGTGCAGCTCCGGCCGTTGCGGCCATCTGGGGAGTGAACCATCAGATGGAAGACCTCTCTCTATGCTTCTCCTCTCTCTCTCTCTCTCTCTCTCTGTGTGTGTGTGTGTGTGTGTAACTCTGACTTTCAAATAAATAAATAAATCTTTAAAAAAAGACAAAGAGAGAAAGCAGCATAGGATGAATA